AGTCCAGCAGCCTTGAGAGCAAAAGTTGCTCTGAATATGACGGCCGAGATAAACCTAAGAGAAATAGAAATATTTATTTTTTGCAACGATGATTTACGTCTTACAACATATCTTGTTGCCATGTTACGAAAAAAAGGTGCCCAAAATATTCGATTATGCTACCCTTCACACCAAACACAAGTATGTTTAAAACAATCTATTATTTATTTATTTGGAAATCTATGTATGCTCACGTATTAACTTCAGCTCTTTTTCAAGTATATGAATATTGATGCGATCGGAATTCCAGGTTTTTGGGAATCGCAAGCCCAATTTGAATGGAGTGTCAAATGTAAGTTTTCATTCACTTACTGTATTTACGTCTATAATTTTTTTAAAAATTTTTAAAATTTTAAAAAAATTTTTTTTTTTTTCATAGCTGCAGTAGTTGTTATAAGTATGTTGTATAATGATTTCGAAAAGCAGGAGATGCTTCTTAATGCGTGCATTAATCAAAATGTCTCTTTGTACATAACATGGGATTCTGGAATGGAACTGTGAGTTATATAGAACTTTGTACATTTACTATAATAGATCATACAATAATTTTTTTTTTTTTTTTTTTTTATAGTGAACTTTATGTTTCGGATAAACGATGTCCGCGAACTCGATTGCATAAACGATTAATTGAGCACCAAGCAAAGACCGAAAAACTTCATGGCGCAATGCGATGGATCTTATTTCAAGTGGGTATTTTTGATGAGGAAGTACTTAAACACGACATTTCGACCATCACAACGGCATTCAACAGTCCAAATCAATATATTTTTCTCAACGTGACTGTCAAAGAAGATCTGGCTCAGTTGGTGGCCGAAGCTATCGCGTCTGACAAAGTCCTACCTAATAGAAACTATGTAGTTGGTGATTTTGTTGCCCACACTTTTCTTGGTCATGTTTATCAAGTTGCTAATAATGGTAATTCTCTACTTTATACCTATTTTCATAAATTTTTCGTTTATATTTACCATCTTTTGATCTTTCAGGAATGCAATTAGATAGTAGCATGCCCGCTGATATTTCAGAGTTTGAAACAACAAACCAATTACGTTTATCCGGAATAGTTTCTGCCCGACCGTTGCCCAGAATACTTTATCCTGGTTGCAGTATTTTCTTTCATAGACTAGGGATCGAAATCTCGTTTCAGCACGATGCAACAATATACCGACTACTGAAACATCATAAACGTACACCCCTAAAAGATTGGATCCGAAACAGAATTTTCTACCCGGTACATTGATCGTATTATCATCTCTCCCGCTTCTTATTCGCATATACAATTTAATTATGATTATGATAAGCATAATATGTGGAAGGAAAACTGGGCTGTACAAAGTATACACTTAAGCTATATGATATCAGATATAAGATTAATACAATTACGTAAGTTATTAATTACAGCATATAATAAGAAACTGATTATGATAAATACAGAAATACGTAATATGTAGATAAATTATATGATCGCCGTTACGGAAGAAAAATAAGGAAAGATTTACCGTTATCAAATATTACAGTATTATTTGTACGTACCGGTACGTACAGTACATACTTAATATTATCGCATATATACGCCAAATGCAATTACTTATTTGCAGCAACAAATTAAACGTTTGTACTTTTAAATTTTGGTAACCAATATTATTTCGATACCTTTGTTATACTGTATATTAGGCGCTAATGAAACCGTAAATTTAAATAAATAAAAAATTATTATTATGATCTGAATCAAGTTTGTGAATTTGCTATTAAGTAATACAGCACTTTTACTTTTCATTATACAATTAGAATCTTTTCGTACAATAATTATGTAAGCATTTATATTAGAGTTTAAGTATTTAAAAATTGTAATCAGATTTACAGTAATACAATGTACTTTTCGGAGTATGGTCAATCTATGATTTTTTAGGTTTAGTAAGCCTATACCCTATAGTGAAATATCAAAAAATTTAATTCCTTGTGTTCTCTAGCGATGCTCATATACATATATCATTTATATTATTGGAATGCGAACCTTTGGGAAAGGATACTTAAAATTTTCTCCTTCCACGTGTTTTTATTAGAGATGTGCCGCGTACAGTATTATACGTACTGTACTGTACGCACGTACTATACTTACTGTGCTGTATACTTACTGTGCTGTATACTTACTGTGCTGTACTATACGTACTGTACGCACGTACTATATTTACCTGTACTATACGTACTGTACGCACGTACTATATTTACTGCACTATACGTACTGTACGCACGTACGATATCGATATTTACTGTACTATAAGTTACGTACTGTACGCACGTACTATACTTATCTGTTATTGTATCGTACGTTAAAATTTTTGCCAATCACGTACTATACTTATTATATCTGATATGTACTACATGTACTGTAAAGTTTGGAACCGAATTTATTTAATTAATGATTTCTAGCTTATTCGGATCATTAAAACAATATCATATCTGGATTTAACATGCATTACTCCTTATGATTAGTTAATGTGATAGTAAACCAATAAGATTCCTTCGTGAACTATTCATTGTTGTAACGATAAAGTATTTTTTATGTTTAGAAATATATACGTGTTTCAATAAAGCTATTGCATAATAATCACGTTAAGTATTATAGAGATTTTTCTTTGTAAGTATCTATAGCTTTAAGATCTTTAAAGAATTTTAGAGTTTTTTGTAGTTATTTCTAGGGTTGGATCAGTCCTGAAAAGACCGATTAAAGACCAGTCTTTTTGATCAGTCACGTTTAACCGGTTCAGACCGGTTAGTAATTAAGCTCTAAAATAGACCGGATAAAATATTACCCATAAAATTTATCATCTAATCTACGTAACCGAATAATCAATATTTAATCTAAATAGTTATATAATGGTTCTATTGGGACCGGTCTTATTAGAGATCGGACCGGACCGATCCATCCTGTTTGTAGATATTTTTGAAGAAGCTATGAATTATAGGCTTGTTAGACGAAAACAAAGTAGTATTACTTATTATATTTATTATTAAAAACTAGCTATAGGTAATATCGTCACTTTTAATACATTATAAATTATAAAATAATTTAAAAAGTTATATAACAATATTAAATCTAATAAATGTTATTTTAAAATATACTCTTAGGATTATATATAGGGAATTGCTATTTCCACCCCCACTTTTGCTAATACCACCCTCCAAAATACATAAAAGTACTCCGGAAAAGATATTCTTACTAAGTAAACCTCCTTTTTGGTATTAATTAAAGTTGTTTATTAGGTCCTTCTGGTTCTAATAGTGGTAAAATCATTAAGATCGAACCGGTATTTCTTTTTTAAAAATGGATTGAAGATTATAAAATTTATATACAAATATTTTAAGAACTACCGGTCCGAACTTAACGATTTTACCACTATTAGAACTAGAAGGATCTAACAAACAACTTTAATTAATACCAAAAAGGAGGTTTACTTAGTAAAATATCTCTTCTGGAGTACTTTTATGTATTTTGAAGTGGCATTAGCAAAAATAGGGAGTGGAAATAGCAATTCTTTATATATATTATAATATTAGATTATAAAAAATAAATTTATTATATATTAATTAAATATTTTTTCTTATCAATTTGTGAATTTATAAAAAATATTTAAGGGTAGAATATATGTAGATTATTTGTTATATGATTTTGATATATAAAAAAAGTTTTATATTAAATATATTAAAAGCAAAAATTAGCTACCAATAAAATTTTTTAATAATATACTAAAATTTATAAAATTTAAATTAAACCTATATTTTTATATTTATAAAGTTTTAATATCTATATTATTTATTTTTTTTTACTTAGGTAATCTTGCCTTTTTTTTATTGAGAAAAAACATATATAATACTAAAACAAAAATATAAACTATACTAAGCTAGTTCTATAATTGTCTTCTTCTTTCAATTTCAAACTCACTTAGCTACTATTTGGTGCTTAGATATGATTAGTCACAATAGTAAAATTTTCTTCCTAAAAGAGAGGTTTGCCTAAACAAAATCATTCTTTTCTAATCTATAGAAAACTATTATATACCTATCATGATTTTTCTACTCCTTACAATTAAAAACTACTAATCTGATATTATTCTCTAATAGTATGAAAAAAAGAAAAAAATTTTTTTAAGGAAAAAGAATGGAGTAATATATAAAAGAGTAAAAAAGAAGAGTGAAAATAAAATCAGAACAAAAATAAAAAAAAAGAAAATTATAAATAAAGATTAAAGATATATATACAAAAAATATACTATTCTAGAGTAAATTATTATATTTACTATATCTAAAACTTTTTTAGACTATGTCTAATATCTAAATATCTAAATATCTAAGAGTATTTAAAATATGTTTAAGTTTTAATAATTAATAATTTTGTTTAAAAAATATATAATTATATATTTTTTTAGATTTTAAATATTTTTTATTTAGAAAAGTACACATATTATCTTAATAAAATTATGAGAATTTTAATTTATATTTTTGTCTAAAAATATCTAAAAATGTTTAAAATCATATCTAAAGCTATCTTATAGCAATACCACTCTAGAGTATATACTATATATATAAGAGAAAATAAGAACAAGAAAGGCTAAAATTGATTATATAACTACAAAACAGAAATATTGTCTGTAGTAAAAATTATAAATAGTATTAATATATATACTATTTATCTTATATTAACTCTAATCTATTTTTATATTTATAATATGATAAATATATGACTAGCTAAAATCATATGTATTGTTTTGTTATTATCAATAATCTAATGCATAATCTGTTCTAATTAGAATATAGTACTATTATCAATTCTTTATTGAGAATAAGCTAATTCTCTACTTTTCCTTAGTGAAAAGCTATAAAATATATATTCGTTTGTATTAATTAAAAGTTTAGTAAAGTTGTTATAAAAACTATCTACAGAATAAATAAAAGGTATAGTATCTATACCAATACAAAATACTGTTAGTTTAAATTTCTTCTTCTTGTTTACTTCTTTCCTTATCTTTATTTTTTGACTTGAATATTCTATAAAGTAAACTTTTAGCTAAAATCTTAATATTATTACCTGCTAAGTCTTTCTGCTTCTTATTGCCTTGTAGAACTTATTAGATTATACAACTTGCACTTCTATTCAATACTAAAATTTTACTAAGTTTCCTTAAGTTTTATAAATTATTTTATATATTGAAGTCTTTGCTCTGTATTAGTTTAGGTGATCAGTATATTAAGTATAAAATAAAAATAAATATCTATATTATTTAAAAAATATTTACTTTTATATATTATAAAATTTTCTGAAATAAATTAAAATTCTCTGTAAATTATTTGGTTACAAAACTGAGCTAAAAGTTACTATATGGAAAAACTATTAAACTTACTAGATAATACCTTTTAGTATATTAAGAAAAAGCAGCAATAACAGAGAGAATTGACAAAGTAAAGAGTATATTAGAGCAAGAAGTCAAACATACAGTAGTAGTAAATAAAAAATTAAAAGTATAAAAAAGCAAATTAGAAATAGAAATAGTATACTTTTAGATATAAATAGTTTGATTAGTAATATAACAAGCTCAAAAATAGAAGTAGAAAGCAACCAAATACTAGTAGACAGTAAAATCAAAGAAGAGTCAAGTCAAATGAAAGAAGTCTAAGAAACTAAAGAAAAAGAAAGTAATATAGCAAACTTAAAACAATAGTATATTATTACAGAAGAGTCAAAAAATGATTTACTTCTTGCAGAATTAAATTCATCATTATAAAGAAGTATTTAAATATCAAACAAGAACAGATATAAAAAAAAAATAATAAGAGCTAAAGTAGCTGCTATCAAAGTCTTAGAAAACAATAAAAAATATAGAGAAAAGTAACTGAGATGATTAATAGAAAGAAATATTTATTTAAAAAAAATTTCAGAAAAGTTCAAATATAGTAATCTCTAGTGTATAGTAATCTTTAACTATATTAAAGGCTATAAAAAAGCAAAGAAAAAGCTAAAAAATAAGAAAAAAGAATATAAACAAGCTAATTTCTTCTAAAGAAAAATGAAGAACAAAACGAATCTAATAAAATAGAAAAAAACAAAATAATAAAAACTTAGCTCAAGAAATATTTTTTTTTTTTTATTTTTTTTTTTTTTTTTATTTTTACAACAAGACCTCAATACC